GAAAACATTAGAGAAAAAAATACTTCAGGTCACTAATAATTCTTTCAAATTTGTAAAAATAGTATAAACATGATATAATTGAAGAATTAGGTAATGAATAATTATCTCATATGGTGGCCTATTAATTGGGTTTTATCAGTGATATGTCATTGTTATATATGTATAAGGTAGCCCTAGTTGGTCCTCTTATGAGGCAATCTTTAATTAAATTGTCATTTAAATCCTTTTTTATCTGACAGGAAAACATAAAACTCTTGATGTCTAGTAATAGGATTAGAAGGGACCATTGTCTAATTTGCTATTAAATAAATAAGCTACATAACTAGAAGCTGCCTATAAATAGATATTATTACTTTGAAACATCTCCACTGAATAAATTTTCATGACCTTTGAAGTGTTTAAACAGAGGGTCATATTTATTTCTGAATTTTCTAAGATTATTTTTAAGAAGAATGAGCCTATAAAAATCTAGTTAATATGCACTGTGACCCTTTAAAAAAAGCATCAGGAATTAGGAGCTGAAAATTTTTTTTTTTTTAATATATTTTATTGATTTTTTACAGAGAGGAAGGGAGAGGGATAGAGAGTTAGAAACACAGATGAGAGAGAAACATTGATCAGCTGCCTCCTGCACACCCCCTACTGGGGATGTGCCCGCAACCAAAGCACATGCCCTTGACCGGATTCGAACCTGGGACCTTTCAGTCCGCAGGCCGACACTCTATCCACTGAGCCACGGCGGCTAGGGCAGGAGCTGAAAATTTAATGCACATGCATAGATATAACACAATGTATGTTTAATTTATATTCCTTTTTGGCCTTTGAAGAAAATGGAGCATAAAGACGACTGGGGTGGTGGAGAAGGAATAGTAGGTGGAATTGAGAGGAGAAAGGGGAGGGCAGGGGGGCGGGCAGAGCAAAAGACAGGAGAAGGGGGCAACACATCTTCTGAGGAAGAAAGGTTTAACAGATTTGGGGGTGTTTTTCTTTAATTATGTTTAGTTGATGTAATTTTCTTGCCATCTAGTGTTCTTTAATGATTGATCCTATTAATCATAATTTACAGTTTTCATATTTTTGTAATCTTTATTTTTAGACTCCACTCATGATGAAACATTTGAAGCAACTTATTATGGTGGAAATTTTCCCCCATGATAGAGCAAGAGCTACTAGAGAAATATCACTCCTTGGACCAGATGAAATCAGTCTTTACCAGTATTTTAATTTATTACAATGAAGCTCATACACAGGAAAATTATAGTGAATCATGATCTTTTGAAATTGAGTTTTGGCAAAGGTTGATTTTTCAAAAAGGATTTTCTTTGTTGTGAGACTATTTTGTTGAGAAAATTGTATTTTATGTCTCCTACTTTTCCATCCTCTGTCATCTCAAATTACTATGGAGCAAAGATCAGAATCCAGCTGTTGAGTTGCTCTCTGTTCAGGGGGAAATAGCTATGTGTTTCAACTCCATGCTGATCAGTAAATTCATGGGTAAAATGATAACTGATCCTAATAAGTAAACTTTTTAAAGGCTTTTTGTGTTGTTGTTTTTTACCTTGCAAGATGCATTTCATTTTTTCATAGTATTTGCTTTTCTTTTACCAAAATTAACACAAGAAAAGGATAAAGGATCAGATGAACCTAAGGTTCCTTCGAAGTCAGAGACTGAACAATTTAAGGAAAATGAACAAAATGCAGGCAGATGAACAATTTTAGGAAAAAGTAAAAATTTCCCCTTGGATGCTTTAAAAGCTAATTTTTGTCTCCCACTTTTTCCAGCCATTACTTTCTCTCTTTTTTTGCATATATTTATTTTTACAGGCATGGGAGGTTTTACTGGGCATTCACTTCTCTTATCTCAGTTCTTCCTGCTTGCTTCTCTTTTTCATTTCCATGTGTTTGTTTTTCTGACATGTATTAATCAAAGTCCACATTATATTGCAGACGGGGCCTATCTCATTGGGGCTGACGTCATATCCACTTCCAGCTCGCCCTTCATTTTGGTTTCTAAGACTGTGTTCTTCAATACCCACCCCCCTCCACCACCTCCATTAGTGATGTATGTGAAGTCCCCAGGATGTCTGTCATTGTCCCCTTGCCAGCTCCTGGATAACAGCCAATCTTAGATCACAGAAGTTTAATGATGAATCCATATCTGTCATGAGCTGGAATTGCTGCAGGGCACATAGTAGGTAACGGCCTAATAAATGTCTGATGGATGAATAAAGAAATGAATGTGCAAAGGAATAGAGCTCATAACTGAAGTCCTTAAGGAATGAAGCTGTTTAGGCAAGCACTTCTGTCCACAGGATAGCCAATTAAGTGTGCAGATAGAAGCATGCATGTGTCCCCATATCCATTAGTGATTACAGACTCCAGCCTTCGGTTTCCCTGGTGAATTCATATGCAAGCTGACCTGACAGGAACTGCTTGCCCTGTGAGTAATCACAAGACTTCCCAGGGAAAAGGATGTCAGATGGGGTTCCATATTTAGCTTCACCTTTAGTGTGAAATGACTCTCTCTATCCTAAGTATTTGAGGGATCAGCTCTCATTAGCATTCATGCTTGAAATATAACCTTACAAAATCTGTACTCTCTCACATTGATTAAGAGCAAAATCATCTTTGACAAATTTTTGGATTGAATTGGCCAGGCACAGTTCTCCCTAAGTCCACGGGTTTCACATTTTGCACACGTTCTCCCATTTCATTGTGTTTTAAGCCAGGTTGCTATTATATAGAGCACTTTAGCAGCCTTGATCTTGGAGACATCAAGACCATTATTCCTGTTGTTGCTGATTTAGTGTTACAGCTGCTTCCTCTTTATGTGATTTAATTTGAAGTTTCAGCCCACCAGGGGGCTATTGGTCCCCACCTATGCAGCTTGAGAGCTGGCTGCTGTTTCTGCTTGGATGTTATTTCCATTCCTATTCATAGTGATTTTTCCCCTTCTATATTCATCTAGCAACAGCAAGGCACTGTTCCAGGAACTTGCTCGCTCTACATAAGGCGTAACGTGGAACCATTTGGATGGAAAAATTATAAATTAAAATTATTCTGTTCATTTTAAAATATTCATATTGTGTTGCTCAAATGCCAGTAACTGGAAAATCATGGATAATGTCCTGTTTTTATAACCTCTTTCAGAGTGTTTTAAAATCTGTTTATGTTGTTACTTAGCCATCTCTTTTCCTGGAGTGGATTTTGTGATAAGATTTAAAAGAAAAAAGGTTGTATGAGTCCAGTGTCTGATGGCATATGTAATATTAAAATAAAGATGTTGCCACTAATTGCAATTCGTTTTTTTAAAAATAGAACAGTATTTACTCCATGGACAAAGAATATTTATAAAATTATAAGACTACACAGGGAGCCTATACACATGTTAGACTGTTTCTTCTGAGGATACATTTTCTTTATTATATGAGTAAAACGAAACAAAGGTGTATTACTTTCTGGAACTATGTATTTAATTTAATTTAAGAAAACCCATATATTCATAACACCACTGCTTTTCAAATACTACAAACATCGACAACTTCTTAAATGGAGCTTTTATGTTTTGTTATATCCTGTTTTCTGTGATAGTTGTTTCTTTAATTTCAGGAAATGAAAATCCTATTTCTATCCTTGTATTTCCTGTGTTGTTTAGGTGTGGGTGAGGATGTGCATGTCTCAGAAAGACAAGTGGGGAAAAGGGAACATGTTTTTGTGTGGGTTGGCTAGTTTTTTGATTAATAACTACATCTCTTAGTGATTGGAGATCTTAACTTCATGTATGTTTCTCCCTCTGTGGAACACATTAAGGAAGGGAAGTTCTTTGCTTTTTGCTCCTATATTCTGTTAGTTTTCAGTTTACATTCACATAAAAGCCATGTGTTTTATTTGCTATCTCTCTTGGCTAGGAATATTTAATGTATGTTTGAAACTCTTCTGTTCCATCAACTAAAAACGATTTAAAATTATAATTTTAAGATTCTTACCAGAAACGTTTACTTCTGGTTGAGGCTGTGGTCTTTCTTTGTGTGCCTTGTGCGTGTGTTAGGTTCTTCAGAAGCAACAAATCACTTCAGCGTGAACACATTTCACAGGCCCATTTTATTGTTTGTTGAGACTTGTGAATCATTTGGCCTTTTCAGATAGGCTAATCCTTTAATTGAATGTGCATTCAGAAGCACTCTGTGTGCCATGCAAACCTGGGTAACTCTTGCTAACTCTGTTTTATTCATTTTATTTAATACTAGGTTATCCAAAAGTATTTCCTTTCGATTTTTAGAAGCAAGTTAATGTAGGCTGTGTTATTTGAAGGCAGGATTGTTTACAACAACAGCAGCAACAAAACATGTAGACATTTTCCTGCCTGAGGTCCCATGGATGGGAAATAGGATGCAAACTGTCAGTAAGCAGGTTTCCCGACACAAATACTTATACAGCAACCAACTTCTTTGAACAAAGCCCTGCATTCTGTTCTTAATTGACTAAAGAAGTCAAATTAGAATAGTTACTACAGGAGAAATGGATGCCTCATAATTAATAATTTGTGAGCTAAACCTTAACCACACTTGGCATTTTTCCTTGGGTTGGTGACAGGCTGATTAGTGAGTAACTGCTGATAGTACCTAGTCTGTAGAGCAACTGTTCGGTTCTGGGGCTTCTGTTGTTCAATAAAGTAGGTTTTCTCTGTGATGGGACTGCAGCCTTAGTCTTGATCAAAGTGCTTTGGAGGAAACAGGGTTGAACTGATTGGCTGTGAATGTTAATCACTCCATAGGACGCGCTGATAATTTACAGCATTGTTGTAACTCTCCGGTGTTCATAAAATGAACTTAATAAGCCAGTGCTACCATGGGATAAGCTGCTTTATTTTTTCTGCAACTGAATACCCAGACTGCCTGCATAATAATGCTGAGAAATAGTGCATTAAAAAGAGTGAGCAGCTGTATGATGAAGGAAACAGCTCTGCAACAGATTTGTTCATTATCTCCTTTGATTCACAGAGGGTGTTTGCGAGATATGGTTGACCAGTGAAGACACAGGGGCTTATGGCAGAGATATTGGCACTGATCTCCCCACGCTGCTGTGGAAGCTGGTTGAAGTGATTCCTGAGGGAGCAATGCTGAGGCTGGGCATGACAAATCCGCCCTATATTTTAGAGCATCTGGAGGTAAGGAAAAGCACCCCATTTCCATGCCGACACTGACAAAAACCAACCCAGACCGTGTGGCAGCCTCGGCATCATCACATGAGCTTCATTTAAAACCACTTTCCCAGTTTTTGTGTGTGTGGTCCCACGTACCCAAGGACGAATTGAGAGTGTCAAGTCCCCTTCTTTGCCAGTCTGCACATCTTGTTTTGCGTCCTCCCCATTAATTACTATTGCCTGGCTTTCCCAGCACTCGTCACAGGCCTTTGTTTCTTTTTTGCAGCCCTTCAGTTTTCCATTTTTAAAATTTGCCTCAATTCCTCCTTTTAGAACCCTTGTCTAGTTCAGGGCTGCTAATACATTGCATTAATTTTGCAGCCAACAGCGAACCCCACATTGCCTATCTTATGACTGTTTGCCCTGTCAGTACTGTAAGTCTGAGGGTGTTAGGAATTTCATCCCTTTGTCAGGAGATAGTTAGGGGTGAATAGCATCAAAGAGACACGGAGTTGGTGGTCTTCCATTTGCTTCTCTTATAATCACTGTGAAAAAGGGAGTTGTGATAAAGTGAGATACCTGGTTTCATTTTTATACCTTCATGGATCAGGATGCCTCCCTTCAAGTTGCTTACCGTCAAACTAGAAAACGACGTGTGCACAAGTAGCTGTGGTTCCTGATGACAAATGCCACGATACATGAGCAATTAATGTGGACAGGAAGCAATCATTCAATGAAAAGGCACATGCTAGGATCCGTGACTAATGTAGTGAGTAAAATAATTCTATTAGGCCTAAAGTTATGGGTAAGAAATTTAATAATTGCTGTTGGAAAATCATGTGCAAAGTATAAACACAAGTCACATATTTTTAATCAGTTGTGTTCTTTGCAGTTAGTTTATGCAGAAAAATAATATTCCCCTAATTTAAAAGCTAGTGTAGTTGCTGAAATTTAATGCATAAATGCAAATGAATATTCAAAGATTGTTTCTGTTGATTTGATTTGAGATCTATACTTGTTAAGGTTGTTGCTGAAAAGCCTCTCTGATATCAACAGCGGATTTTAGATATTCTGAAAACAGAGTTGCTAGCAACCTGATTGTTAATTATAAATTGTCATGAAGAAATTCAGCAATTTCAGTTTTGCTGTTTATATGTTCCTAGCCAGATTTTTAAGTAAAGGTATGCAATTTATTTGTTAACTTTGGTACTTTGGACAATGTAGGGCAAATATAATTTGCTATTTTCAAATAAGTCACAGGCATGTCAATTTTAACTTAATTCTTTGATTCAACACTTGAAAAAGCAAGTAATTATCTGTAAGAATCAAATATGCTGAGACTACTGCAGTCTTGCTGTGTTTGCAGTAGATATGAAACATGCTTCGTGAAAACCAGGACATGAGCTAGATCTGTGGTGGAAAGGAAAGGAATTAAGCCCTGCCAATACATAGTCAATAAACAGTTTTTGTCAAGGATCAAGGTAACCATAGTACCTCGTCAGGGAAGTTCAGGTAAGGAGTAAACACAGGGGGAACATTGTTTATTGGCTCTGAGATGACTAACCAAATACCTCTTGGAGTAAATCCAGCACTTTAATTAATTGCAAGATTGCAGAAACCGGTAGCATATTTATAGCTCAGCACCTAAAGTAGTGCTAGTCGTTGACCTCTGGATAGATGCTTCAGAAGAGTGTCTTAAAAATCAACAGAAGATGATAACTACAGCCTTACATTTTACCTGGAAAAACACCACATGTTTAATTCATAGACTGTGGTTAGAATGATCAGCTCTGATTGCCGTGACGTTACCCTTTTTAAATTCTTGCTGTAAGATATTTATAACGTTGGCCTTTCCTCTTATGTTGTCATTTGCCTGGGTCAAGGGCCTTGTCGTATCAATCTCTGGTTCTACCCCACCCAGGAATGGATCAATAAATGAGTGAATAAATGAAAGAACAAAAGAAGAGCCTTCTTCATAAAATAAATTGTGAGGCCTTAACATTCTGGCCAGAAGAGGCAACAGAAGATGGCAAAGTAAATGAGCTGCAAGGGTGAGAGTTTGTCCAAAAAAAGCCACCCATTCTTGTGTACTTTATAAGCAGTTCCATGTGCCACACCTAGGGAGAAAGCTATCCAAAGGAGACAAATGAAAATGAAACAAGCGAAGCTGACTTCCCAATGTCCACCAATGGGAAGTCAGAGCTTTGAGGAAACCTTTCCACCTTGGTGTTCTCCTCCTCAGAGTGGAAGAGCCCCGAGTTTTCCATGTTCACAGACACATTCTAACTGATGGGGCAGGTCACCAATCGCCGGCTTCCCATCGAGCAAGGATGTTAGGGAAGGGAGTCCAGCCTGATGAACCTGGGCTTGCACCACCAATACACTATATTTCCTCGTTTTCCTCTTGCTAAGCTTAGACCACTCTAAAGAAATTACCCGGCTTATCTAAAGAGCGCTGAAGAGAATTCACCAATAAGAAAAAAAAAAGGAGACAAGATGAAAACAAAACAAAAAAATAACACCAGTGAGTGACAGGTGGTGATTATGTTGACCTGTAGGGAAGAAAGAAGAAACCCACTTTTGAAATAACTACTGGTGCTTTAATGCCCTTACAGGAGGCTTCCTTGAGAATTACATTGGTGTTTCTGGAAGATGCTTCATGCTCAGACGTTAATTATAGGGCACTTCACTGGGCTGTTTTCCTGCTTCATTCTGTTCCCTTCCCATTCACCTGACTCTTGAGATGTTTTTAAAACCCTTTTACCAGCTTACTTTTTTTTTTTTATTGAACAGTTTAAAGGTGTAATCATTTAAAGAAAAATACCAGTTTCTATCACCGTTTTAAGAGTAGTGTGGAAAAATAGATCTGTTGATAATACACATTGTTACATCTTTATAGGAACAGAAAATGCATACTATAGTTATATGCATATTAGAGGATGCACTTTTAAGGTTTTATCAAGAGTTTAATATTATATGTGGCATATTATATAGTAGGTCTTAAATAAATATGTAGTGAATAAATGGAAGGGAGAGAGAATTCTTAATCCCTAACAGGCAGGCAAGTAGTCAAGTGTCAGGAACATCTGCAAAACCTATTGTTAACATTATCACTGTGTGTAACAACATGGAATTCATTTTAAATGACTACATAGCTGACAAAGAGATATATCAAGCAAATATGAAAAACTCCCTGGAATTGAAGAGACATAATAATGAGCTTATGTAACACTTATTAAATTTGGGTATAAAGTAGAAGCAATCTATATATCTAAAAGCCTAAGCAACTGTTAGACTGTTTGACCTTTCGATCGGTAGCTATGATGAACACTGACCACCAGGGAGCAGATACCCAGTGCACAGGCATGGAAACATGGAACAAACTGATGAATCTCAGAGGGAAGGGGGTGGGGAGAGGGCGGGAAGAGATTAACCAAAGATCTTATATGCATACTAGAGGCCTGGATCCATGCACCTGTGGGGTCTCTCTGCCTGGCCTGCACCCTCTTGCAATCAGGGACCCCTCAGGGGATGTAGGAGAGCTGGTTTCACCTGATACCCACAGGCTAGGCCCAGGGATGCCGCCAATGCACGAATCCATGCACTGGACCTCTAGTAGGTAAAATAATAGATTAAAATAGTTTGCCTCCTCTTAAAGCCTCTCTATTACCCACAGGCTAAAGGTAAGCTCTTTAGCATGTAATCCAGGTCCTTAGGATGTTTCTTCTATCACATCCCAGCTCTCCTCCCTTTAGTACCCTGATGATGCCGTGTGTGTGTGTGTGTGTGTGTGTGTGTGTGTGGTGGTGGTGGTTTTTTTGTGGGTTTTTTTTTGCCATTTTATACTCCTGAAAGTTTTACTTCAACTTTTTCTCATTCCACATGTTAACAGTTGGTAATAATATGTTAATCAGATATATTAATAATTGCTATTATGTGTATAGGCTAATATAATTGTCATTTAGTGGCAAATAAGAGATATTTTCCCTATGTGCTTGCCTTCCTAATGATATAACTAAGGTAAAAACCCTGGCATACTTTTCTTCAATGATCTCTGACCTTTTAGAAAGTAGATGGCTTGTGAATTTGACTACTCTTGAAATGACATTGCTTAGTATTCCCCTCCCAGTTGTAGGTAGCACATAGCTGAGGTTTAATTCAGACTGATCATAATACACGTGAACCCAACAAGTTGTGATGAGGCCAGTGACAGTGATACAATGGCTATTGCTAACTGGGCACCAAACTTCACTGGTAACTTTCTTCAAGACTGAACAACAACAACAACAATAATAATATCAGTACAATATATTGAGTGCTTATTATAATCAAGAAACCATGTTGATTGCTTTACACACAATATCTCTTTCCCTTCTTATAATAAACTAACTGCAGAGATATTATTATCCTCATTTTGTTGATTAAGAAGCCTTGTCTTAGAAAGCTTTAATAATTGGCCAAATTACATAAATAGGTAGCAGCTGAATTGTTTTAATCTCATCTGTCTCTAAAATGCTTTCTTTTACACCGTTTCTTCCATGAAGCCTTCCCAGATGCTCCCAGATTCCTTTCCTGCTTTTTCACTCTGTCCCAGATATCACTGCTGCACTCCTCATGGTGAACCCTGATCACTTACTTACATGTACATTCAACAAAACTGTGGTCATCTTGGGGAGAGACTGTCTTGTTCATCTCCACATTTCAGTGCCTGTGATAATGTGCACTTACTAAATGTATATTAAATGATATGGTAGCTCTAACTTTAGCTATTTCTTGACTGCATACTTTTATAGTGAAGTATCCTCATATCTGTGCCGAGGATCTAGTTTGGGAGGAATTTGTGGATGGTTGTCATAAGTGTTTCTCAATTATGAGTCACACTTCTGTGACTAAGGGATGCGTTTTATTTATTTGCTCTGCTAAAATATCAGTGGTAGAGAATATCTTTTAGACTACCTAGAGCAGCTGAGTTCATTGTATGATTAACAAAGTTGTAGGTTATCTAGGCCCTTAGCTTCTTTATT